ATGAGGCTTTCTGCTCCCGTAAAGATTTACAGCCTCGGAAACGCTGTACAGGGTCGCTATGAGTCAGAACTGACTCCATGGTACATCACCACAACCACCACAGCTATTTCTCCTCATTTTGAGTTGTGTCCCATAAGCAAATTAAGGTCCTGAAGGCTTTACTCCATTTGTGCCATCATGGTCATCTTGACTTTGAGGATGCAGTTTTTCCCCAGTCGTATTTTGAGGGTGTTCCAGCCTGAGGGGCTCATCTTCCATCACTGTATTTGACAATATTCTGGTGCTATTCACCATGTTTCAACATTCAATATTCTGGTGCTGACAGTGTTCTACTGGTATTCATTAGATTTTCAGTGGTTAAACATTCAGAAGTTGTCCACCTCTCCTTCTTCCTAGTCTGGCTTATCTGGAAGTTCAGCTGAAACTTATCCACAATGGATGTACCCTGCTGGTATTTAAAATACCGGTGACATAGCTTCCAGCATCACAGCAACATGCAAACTATTCCAGTATGACAAACTGACAGACAAGTGTTGGCAGATGCAATGGCAGCTACAAAACTATTTTAAAGGTCTCTCTGGAGCAGTATCCCCTCTACTCCTCTCTCCCAATTTTAGTTATCTTGACAGTTCAGAAGAGTTCTGCTCTGTGTATAGTAGTCTCTGGGGGCTGCTGTAACAAAGCATCACAAAGTTTGAGTGGAAAATAGAAATTAATTTTCTTACAGTACTGGAGGCTGTAGTCTAAATTCAGAGTCAGCAGAACCATGTCCTCTGTGCAGCCTCTAGGGAAGGATCCTTACTTGCCTCTCCTAGTTTCTGACATTCCTTGGTTTGCAACAGCGTAACTCTCACGTTTTTGTCTCTCTGTTCCTCTATTATAAGGAAACCACTCATGTAGGATTAGGACCCACTGTATATTGGCTTAACTCATACCATCTTCAAAGACCCCGTTCCAAACAAGGCCACATTCACTGGTAAGGGGGTTAGGACTTCAATATATATTTTGGGGGAGCATAATTCAACCCACAAGATCTCACCAGGTTATGTTTCTACTCTCTGAAAAAGGCAGTCCCTCTCTGAGCACTGGCAGATGTTTTCACTGAGAATTATCCTATTTCCTTCTGCTGGAGTCTCCAGGAGACACACACACATCAAGCACCTGGAGGGAGTGGGAGTGGATGTGCACTCCGGGTACCTGGCTCCTCTTCAAGTTCATTACCCTTTGAGCCTCATATGTACTGGCAGTACATAGGTGGGTCACAATGCCCAGTACTTCTGAGATGCCAAACACATACTTACCATGTCTTTATAGGTTAATAAACTTGTACACGTATGGTTATGAGTCAGGCTGCTAACCTCAAGGCCAGCTACCAGTGGTTCTGTGGGAGAAAGATGAGGTTTTCTACTCCCATAAAGATTCACAGCCTTGGAAACCCTATACAAGGTGGCTATGAGTCAGAACTGACTCCATGGCACACCACCACCACCACCACCACATGTATGATGGGGCTTTAAGAAGTTCATGGGGAGATTCTATTTCTCACATAATTTTTGAAGACCCCTTGTATTATTTTTAATCTTTTAACTGTAGTTTGCCTGCCTTCCCTGTAAGATTGTGAATGCCCTGAAGGTAGAAGTCTTGGTTTAGTGTCTGTCTCTGTACCTGTAACACCTACTCAACTGTCTGGGTCATGAGTCAATCAGTATAGCAGAGTCTGAGACAAAGCAACAGTGTAACACTTGGTACTGAAGCATCATTTCATAAGATCCTTATTTCAAAAAAGGAAGTAGCCTCAGGATGATTTGTGTCTTGTTCAATGTCCTGGGGTGAATATCATCAGTTCTAGGAAGGGCAGATTTTTGCTGTTTTTTGACATTTTCCCAGTATCTAGGGCACTGCCTAAGGAGCTCTGTAACGTAGTGGTTACGAATCGGGCTGCGAGCCACAAGGTCAGCAGTTCAAAACTACCAGCTGTTCTGCGGGAGAAAGATGAGGCTTTCTGCTCAGCCTCGGAAACCCTGTACAGGGTCGATGAGTTGGAACCGACTCCATGGCACACAACAACAACAACAACAAGGGCACTGCCTTGCCCAAGAGAAGAGCTCAATAAACATTTGAACGGAACTAGAACATGAATCCAGGTCTCTCCAGGGAATGTTGAGAAAAGCCAACCTTGTCTATGCTTTCCTCCTGTCATTGAAGCAAAACCTAACATCCTCCCTTCCTTGAGTTTCCTGAGCAAGGAAAAAACCTTGACTCAATAGCAAATACCAGCCCCTTCTCTGCCAGCATGTTGTATTTGTCCTTTATTATCAAAAGAATTCAAACCAGTCGCCATGGACTCTGACTCATGGTGATCCATGTGTGTCAGAGGAGAGAACTGCTCTGTAGGGTTTTCAATAGCTGGTCTTTGGGGAAGTAGATCACCATGTTTTCTGTCAAGGTACCCTTAAGTAGACTCCACATGTTTATTTCTTTGTCCTCACATGCAACCTATGAGTCCCTGCTCTGTTGAGGATCACCTCTTACTGGTTCCCTAACAGGCCGGCCATCAGTGTCTGAAGTTCCCTTCCTGGGCCTTATTACACCTTGAGGCTGAGCCCGCTCAGAGCTTTTGTATCCAACTACAACCATATCATTTTGCCCTTGTTGACACAGTATTTTGTACTTGATCTCCCGGCTGCTTCATGCAAGTTTGTTTTGTCTTTCTGCCTAGATAATGAACTCAAGGACAGGGATTCAGTGACCAAAAATCAGAGGCACAGGCAGGCAGCCTGAGCTTGCATCATTTGATTCTTATTAAAACCCTCCCACTTCCAGACATCAGCCCTCCATCCTTGTCAACAAGTTTATCGAAAGGGCTGACTCACAAGGGAGCACGTATAATCTTGGACAGATGCAGGACAGGGAACGTGTCAGTCAAAAAACTCTGTATAAAAATAATCCAAAGCTTTCCTTTTGGTAGTTTTGGGGAACTCCCGGAAACATGATGCTAGGAAACCACTTGGAAGGTCCAGAAAATGGGAAGAAGGAAGAGAGAGAGGTGTGGTAGCAGAAAAGGAAGGAAAGCAAACAAGAAGAGGCATATTCGGACAAAGGACCAGGAAGTCAGCAAAGGATGGTGTGAGCACAGGGATTCCGAGAATGCCTCTGGAACTGTCTCAGGGCAGCTAGCACACATCAGCCAAACATTCCAAGACTCTCCTCACTTCTTGACAAGGCCTCAGCCACTGGTTCCGCCCACTCCACTTGCTTCCCTGAAATAACCAGTCCACATCTAATGATCCAATGCTTTATTCACATACTAGGAATAAGTCAGTACAAAATACATTTTAAAAAATCATTAAGTTATACAAATGCCTCTTCTCTCCCCTGACCCCACCCCAGTCCCCACATATCTGTGCTCTCCTGAAAATTCCTAAGTCAACTTAACTCTTCTGGGCCTCCTGCCACAACTGGAGCAAGGGGTCATCGGTCCTGAGGGCAAAGGTTAGAGTGCGATGTTGATAGTGCTTTGGGTCACATTCTAGGTTTTCAATCACTTCTGCTAGTAGATGTGCCCGTTCCACCCCAGAGCCAGGGGCCTCAAAGCCCAGGGCCGTGAAGTGCACATGCAGGTGGTAATAGGAGGGTAGGTAGTGCAGGTACACGCGCAGGCGGTCCCCCTTCACCTGGTAGTGCTGCAGGATGGCTTCCTAATGAGACGGGAGGGAAGGAAAAGGATCACTGTGTTGCAGTGTGCAATAGCAGACACTCCCAGCTAGAACCCGCCCATGTCTTAATCCCAGACTCGCCAGGAACCAGAGTTCTTAGGTGACAAAGTAGTTTAGTGTTCAACTACTAGTAAAAGATTGGCAGTTTGAATTTGCCTAGAGACAGTTCAGAAGACAAGCCTAGTGGCGTGCTTCTGAAAGACTTAGCACTGAAAATCCTATGGAGCAGTTCTATCCTGCACACATGGGGCCTCCATGAACTGGAATCGACTTCACAGCAACTAGCAACAACAACAGCAGAGAGCTGCCCAGCTTCGGGCATCTAGTCCATCACACTACGCTCTGTCCACAGTTTGTTTTGGGCCCTTGTCTTCTACTTGAGGAAAGCCGCAAATGCAGATGACAGCAGCAGAGGTGAGACTGTTCCCCCACAGGGGAGGGGCTGTGGCCTGGATCTTAGCTCCTCACTCCAACTTAGTAAATATGTACTCCCTTGAATAGCTGTGGTTGCAAATGCAGGAAGTCCTAGTGTGGACGAAGCGGATGATCTTCCCTGGATGGACTTTACAAACCATTGATCCCTCTAGCATAGAACATGGTGGAGCTTGGAAACACTGGAGACGGGGATGGGGCTTCACAGTGAAGGTGAAAGAAGGACGGAAGAGGGCAGTGGGAAGGGCATGTCCAGGCAGACCTAAACAAACCAGAGGACACTGACTCATGGGGACCCACTGTGTTTCAGAGTAGAACTGTACTCCATAGGGTTTTCAATGTTTTTGGAAGTAGATAATCAGGTCTTTCTTCTGAGACACCTCTTGGCAGATTCAAATCTCCAACCTTTTGATTAGCAGTGAGCATGTTAATTGTCTGCATCATCCAGGGACTCCCAGACAGACCTAGAGAAGGGATAACTGAGAGGAAAGCTTTTACTTTGGCCTTGGCTCCCTGTGATTTCTACTGTCAGCAAATCCCTGAGGCCAGGAGTAAAGAGAGAGATGAGAGGCTCAGGGAGCCAAGAATTCATTCAGAGCTCACCACAAGACTTTGTGCTACAGGGTGAGGATGCCTGAGCTGCCAAGTATCAGAGTGCTGGCCTAATATCTCCCCAAGGGAGGGACAATGCTCTCTGCCAACCTTGGTATCCAGAGACTGTGTCATGATTTAAAAAAAAAAAAAGTCACATCAAAAAAGACAAAGGCAGCTCAAGACAGTGATGTGGGTGGGCAGGAGGGGACGTACAGCTGCAAGGAGGAGAGAAGACAGATGAGACACAGGCCCAGGGTGGAAGTTGGGAGCAGAGATTCACAGAAAGCAAAGGCCAGCCAACATCTTTCTCCAGGCCTACATTAAAGCCTTGGAAAAGCAGCTGTGAAATGACGGGCACAGCACCCTCTTGGATGAGCATCCCTGTAACCCTTGGTCCAGGACACTCCAGGAGACAGCACCTGTAAAAGTTTCAGAGTGGAAAAAGGCTGACAACCAGACTTCTAGGGGCTAGAAGGGATACTGATACAGATACTGGGGTCTGAAGGGGAAAGTGACTTGTCCAAGGTTAGGGGTAATGTTAAAATCTCTGAACAAAGACTGCAACCCAAGATTCTGGACTCTCTTCTACCCGTCCCCACTCCGGGCCTCCTTTGATTTCTTTTTCCATATTTTTCAGAATCAATAAGTCTTTATTCATGTTATGTATCCCAGGGAAAAGGAGAGGAAGGCAAAAGTATTAGCATGTGTTACAAAATTATAGAAGGGAAAGGAAATACTCAGTATATCAAAAGCAACCATTAATACACCCCCAGGAATGGACTCATCAAAGTCCAATAGGGCTCAGCCTCCTGCAGTTCAGGAATGATGTGAAGGGATCAGGGAAGATCAATTCAAAATTTCACATAAAACTTTGGTTTCTAGCAGTAAACATGGAATTACAGTAATCTGTCTCCTATTAAACAATCTTGTGACCACTCTGACATAAGTTTCATGCACCTGTATAAAACTGCCTACGTGACTTGGAAATACATTCATCTTCCCTTTCTTGGTCTCCCACCCCAACTTTCTATGAGGAAGCTCAGGGCTCCTTTCACTTCCTCTGATTTCACTCAATTCAAAAAGCACCCAGAGAGAAAACAACCCAGAACTCCAGGTGTTCTAGATCTCTGGCCTCAGTCTGGAAGAGGAGCTAAGATAGCACACATAACACAGCAGGCACAGTGTGGCAGTCACGAGAGGGATCGGGACTCTGTGGGGTAAGAATATAAAGAAGGGCAACAACACTGTCAGCCTCAGGGAGGAGATCAGGGCTTTGGATGAGAGGAGACCAAGGCGACTCACCTGACCCTCCTGGAGGATGTTCCTCAGCAGTGGCAGGTGCTCTGGAGTGAGATCCCGCAGTGACTTGATGCCACGGCGGTGGCAGATGGCAATCAGGTACAGGTCATCGAGCTATAAAGAGACAGTAGGTGACAGCAGAGGGAAGACCAGGCTCAGCAGGCCAAAGGGGATAGAGTTCACAGAGGCCAGCAACTGTAGGAAGAGCTCAGAGCTGTAGTACCAAGCACATGATGCCCAGCGGCAGTACTGATCCAGGCAGTGTGGGCACCCTTGAACATCACTTCCGTCTATTCTTCCTGCTCAAGGCTGCATATGGTGGATATCTGTAGAATGTGCACTTACTAAACCGGTAGAGTGGGACAAGGAGGTTCAAGAGCAAGCCAAGGACAACTCTTTTAAAGAGTTGTCCAATGGCATGTAAATAAGAAACATGCTACAAGCTACAAAGTGATAAAAGTGCAAGTGAAGTAGAGAAAGGAGAAGGCAAGCTGCTTAGAGGAGAAAGCAGGGGATCTGGGTTTAGAGAAAGGGCATGAAAGGGCACATAGAGGGAGCAGTGAAAGTAAAGGCTCAGGAGCAAGTAAACACATGGTATGGGTATGGATTGTGTTTTGATCCCCCAAAGTATGTGTTGGAATCCTAGCTCTTGTACCTGTGCATGCAACCGTATTTTTATAAGTAAATAATATGCACCTTCTATTTTTTTTTTTGGCTAACCATAACCCCTGCCTGCAGGTATTTTTGTAAATGTGCAATGCTAATTAAAAAAAAATAAACATGGAAAAAAAAGAAAAGAAAGCAAAGCAGCATAGGGTACATATGAAAATGGTGGGTGGGTGGGAAGAGGGCAGCTGGGAAAACCACTGTAGAGGTGTGTGCTATTTGTATAAAAATCCAGGAATCCTGTTTAGTAACAAGACTCTATTTGTAATATTAGTGAGGAAATGGTGATTAACTTCACATGGGTCTTTTATCCGCAGTCTTTGGAGTCCTGGTGTGGAGCTATGGGTTAATGCACTGGGATGCAAAGTCGGTTTGAACCACAATGTCAGCAGTTCAAGCTCATCTGCCACTCCTTGTAAATTCTACACAGAGTCGCTATGAGTCAGAACTGACTCGACGGCACTTAACAACAGCCATAGTCTTTATATTGTTGTTATCTGCCATTGAGTTGGTTCCAACTCATAGTAACCCTGTACAGAGTTTCCTAGGAACAGCTGGTGAGCCTGAACCACCAGCCTTACAGTTCAAACCGGCCTTGTGGCCTAGTGTATTATCCTAAGTGTCACTTTATAACTCCCAACAAATGACTGGGTGGGACCATGCAGATTGGTGTATGTCCCCCTTTCTTGAAAGGTCTAGGTAAGAGAGGGTTGGAGAAGATGCTGATAGGACTATCTAATTTAGTTGTGAGTGTTAGTAGGGTTAACTGTGATTCTGAAAACCAGGAACTTTAACATGGGGATTGGTTAATTTTGCCATTCCACTGATGTATAAAATGAGCTAACTCAGAAACTGGGGAGATCTCAACTACCATAAAGAAAGAAGAACCCGCACTGTTCACAGTAACAAAAAGATGGAGACAGCCAAAATACCCATCAATGGAAGAATGGTTAACAAACTTTGGTACATCCACACAATGGAATACATTACAACGCTGAGAATAATGATGAATCTGCAGAATACCTCAAACATGATGAACCTGGAGGACTGTGTGTTGGGTGAAATTGTTGTTGTTGCTGCCAAGTGCTATAGAGTTGGTTCCAACTCATAAAGACCCTGCATAGGTTTTCAGAGGAGAGGCTGGTGAGCGTGAACCACGGACCTTGAGGTTCATATCAACCTTGCAGTCCAGCACATTAAGCCGCAGTGCCACATCAGGACTGCACAAAAGGTCAAATATTGTATGAGACCAATCTTGTTAAAATCCAAGAAAAGGTTTTCATGGTAAAAGAAACATTTTTTTTGGTAGTTAACAGGGGTGGGAGAGAAGGGAGAGTAATTTACTGGCTAGAGAGTGGACACATGTTAACTTGAATGCTAGGAAGGGCAATATACAAGAAGGGGAAGGACAACATACAAGAAGACGGAAGTTGGCAGAAGAATGATGAAGACAGGTGATGACAAAGAGAGGTATGCAATGCATGCAGGAGATTGTAATCATTGCAATGAACCGAAGTAAGATAGGATGAATGTAAAGCTAATGTTCTCCCATGTAAACTATCACATAACTCACAATAAAAACTTAAAGAAAAAAAAGAGAGGTATGCAAGGGCTACAGGGGACAGAGGTAAATAGAGAGAGATACATAAGCTAGGAGCAACAGTGTTCTGTGGATAGAGATATGGACAGAGACACAGGCTGAATGAGTGTGGGAGAAAAAGTGGGGAGTTGCCAGGAGCCAGCCCTGATAAATTTATTTCAAGGTTTTTTTCTGAAGGGGGGTGCGCACGTCGGCAATAAGAAATACATGGAGTCAGTAAGTCATAATGAATTAAAAAATCTTATTACATGCTTTATTCTTCTCTCATTCTTTACTGTCCTGCTCATTCTTTACTCCCCTGCTCTCCTGCTCTTCTCTTCTGCTTCTTTTCTCCCTTCCCCTGCTCCTGCTTACATTCCCCTCCTGCTTTTTAAATCCCCTTCCATTTCTTTATTCCCTCCTCTCTTGCTTTCCCTCTCTAATCTTCTTCTTACATGCTTTATTATCCTTCCACTTATTCCTTCTTTTTCTCCTTTATTCTCCTTCTCCCCTCCTGCTACATTTCTTCTTACACTCGGTTCTTATTCTCTACATTACTCTTTTCACTCTTTTTCCTTCTACATTACTTCTTACACTACTCCTTCTTACCTCCTCCTACATTACTTCTTTACCTTCTTCTTCCTTCTCTTCCCTATTCTTCTCTACATTACTTCTTCTTCCTCTTACTTCCCCTATTCTATCATATAACCCCCTTATATACCATTACAAAAAACATTGCTTTCATAGTAATCAACGTCTTCAAAATACAATCTATTCTGAGGCACATTCTTCATGGTTCACGACTCTTAGATTTACAAAAGACATGAAAAGTTACAGACATCAAGGCATACTGAGACATCTTGGTGCCTTGAAACCTTTTAGTTAAACATTTGTTCCTACATAAATCTATTCTTTTCTCTGAGAAGCAAGTTAACCTTCACATATGTTTCTTAACCTTTATCTATTGAGTCTTGTTAATTTTAGTTGTTAGGTGCAATTAACTCTCCCTTAACTTCTTCCATACACTATCTGTTTATAGCCTACAAAAATATCACTTATCAGAACATTTAAAAAACTGAGGCTATGAAAAACAACTTCTCTATTACTGATCAACTTCTTATTTATGTAACTGTAGATTCTCATAGCCCTTATTTATAGTCTAATTGTTTTTAGGAATTCTTGTACCCACAGCCCTTATTTATGGCCTAGTTGCTTTTAGGGATTCTTTATTGCCTTAAACTAAGGCTACAAGGAAGAATGTTTACAATCACTAAACCTAAGCTGGTAGTAATTCAATTGACAAATCCTGTCTCCTAGCAGTCTTAAGAACATTTTAATATAAGTATTAAAACTACCTATGATTATAAGTAATGTAAAATGTAGTTAATATATGGCTTCTAACTTTTAATAAAAATATACTAAAATGTAGGAGAGTCAAAATCCAAAGTAAAAGAATACTAATAAAATCATGAATAAATCAGAGAATGATTCAAAAGGAAAAAAAAAAAATAACTAGGGGCCTGCACATAGAATATTATCTTCCCTTGTAGCTTTGCTATCCAAGGAAAATAATTCATTGTTGCTCTGCAAAAACAATGCGCAGGTTTCCCCGTGTCTCATTTATTTATTTTAATTCCTCGATTAATATATCTCAATTTATTCATTTTAATTCCTTAATTATTATGGCTCTTGCCAGGGAGTATATACACAAGTATATAAAGTTGAAACAGGAATTTTTGATCAAAGAGGATATTTTTACCTTTACTGTGAACACAACTTTGAATGTAGTAGAGCATACAGTGGGCAAAATTAAGAAAATTCCTTAGACATGAAATATTTTAAGGTATGAGGTGCTTGGTCTGAGGACTCAGGACCATAGTCACAGGGGACACCATAGTCAATTGTCACAACATAGGCTACAAAGACAAGGTTCTACATCCTACTTTAATGAGTACCATCTGAGATCTTAAAGGCTCATGAGCAGCCACCTAAGGTGCAGCTATTGGTCTCTCCACATGCAGAAGAATGAAGAGTGAGGAGAATTGAAGATGCTTAGAATCAATTAGCCCAATGGACTAGTGGAATATGCGAACATCATTTTCCACGACTCTGAGACCAGAAGAACTAGATGGTACCTGGCAACAAGAGCTAATTGCTCTGAACGGGATCATATTAGAAGGTCCCAGATAGAGTGGAAGAAAATGTGGAACAAAACTTAAAACTTTTTATTTTTAAAAAAGATGTACTGGTTAGAAGGAGACTGGAGGAACCAGAGACTATGGTCTTCACCACCCTTCAGTTCTGGAAAGAAACTCATCATTGTGGCCCATTTTCAGCCAAGCAGTAGATATGTATATTGTTGTTGTTGTTAAGTGAGTTGGTTCTGACTCACAGAGACCCAGTCTAGGATTTCCAAGGAGAGGCTGGTGAGTTTGAACCACTGAACTTGTGGTTCCAGAACCACACCAGGACTCCAGATATGTATATGTTGTTGTTGTTAAGTGCCGTCAAGTCAGTTCTGACCCATAGTGACCCTGTGTACGGTTTTCAAGGAGCAGCTGGTGAGCTTGTGCTGACGACCTTGTGGTTCAAACGACTTTGCAGTCTGACACATTAACCCACAGCGCCACACCTGGACTTCAGATATGTATATAGGGGAGACAATAACACTAGTAAGGTATGTTCACTAAAGAACTGTCAATCACTCAAAATCAAAAGGACAATTTTTACCTAAGGATAAAGTTGAGAAGGGACAGGAAGGTGAGTGAAGTGGAAAACAGAGAGGAAGTGGGAAAACTGTTATTACATGGAGGGGATTGCAATCACTAAGATGAAACAAAGTATGATTTATTGAATGAAAAACTGATGA